TTGTCTTGACTAGACACTCAGGTGATTAAGAGGATGGAAGAACCACTTCCATTGATTGGCTCATACCGACGGTTCGTTTTCGATATGTTTGCCTACCAGCCCCCTTTTCTCTTCCTCTACATTGTGTTGGTGATCTGGGGATGTTGTTACCTACCGTTGTCGATGCTCCTGACCTATACCTTACAAGATGGTAATGTGGTTGTTATCCAAAGCCTAGACAAGTAGTCCGATCCGTGGGGCTACTTCAGCGAGCCGGAACATGGGAGCCGGGAGCCCTATTTCCCTTGGCATCAGCTGCATGCCGACCATGGTGGACACCGGGCGCTAAAGAGACCTGTTTAACTAGGTATCGGTAGCGTACCTGACGGGGTTCCTATTTGAGTGAGAATGTCAGGTATTTCCACCGACAGGCCTTAGTCAAGACCCTCCACTGATAAAGCTTAACCCCCATATAGGCGATGGAGATACGGAAGAGACAAAGCGGACCGCTCGGTAAAGCTTGTGAACACGATTCAAGATCAACCTAGGCGCCATGAGGGAAGCCCCCTATAAGACCCAAAACTCCTATATTCTGTGTAAATGCTTCGGATTGCTCGGAAATTGCACGACTTGTCTCCCGCCCCAAGATCGCCGGTATATAGCAGACAAATGAAATGGAATTCGTATAGCCAACTCTACGTACAATACAAGGGATAATAGGAGACGGTGAATGCTCCCTTCTCTCCCAATCTACTCGTCCAGGTCAAGAACAAGTAATCACCTCCGTCGTGGTATCTCCAACCAGCCGGCGGCGGCTGGGCCGTTATACAGTGTAAATTAAAGGCGAAAGATGGAAATGAGCGCAGATGCAGTCGGATTAAACGATTGGTCTTTTTCTATTCAGGCCAAGGCTTGTCCTACGTTGCGGGGTATCTTTAGAGAGACTTCTCCATGGAGTCGAGGATGGCGCGAGTGAACTCGTGGGTGGAGGCCTCGCCGCCCATATCGCGGGTGCGGACCTTGCTGTGAGGGGGTTAGCACGTGTTTTTAGTAAAGGCGCAGTGGTAGAAGAACTTACCCCTGAGCAATGACGTCGTAGACGGCGTTGGAGATGCGGTTGGCGTGGTCATCAAGACCGAGGTGGCGGAGGAGCATGGTACCGCTGAGGAGGAGAGCGGTGGGGTTGGCCTGGTCCTTGCCCTGGATATCAAGACCGACGTGACGGCAGCCGGGCTCGAAGACGGCGACGTCACGGCCCATGTTGCAGCCGGGGACGACACCGGGGCCACCGACAAGGGCAGCGGCGATGTTGGAGAGAATGCCACCGTAAAGGTTGGGCATGACCATGACGTCGAACTGCTGGGGCTTGCTGACGCACTGCATGGAGGCGTTATCGACGATCATGTCGTTGCACTCGAGCTGAGGGAAGTCCTTGGCGAGGCGGTTGAAGGTGCCGCGGAAGAGACCATCGGCGAGCTTCATGATGTTGGCCTTGTGAATGCAGGTGACCTTCTTGCGCTGGTTGGCAAGGGCGAACTGGAAGGCGAACTTGGTGATGCGCTCGGACTTGGCGCGGGTGATGATCTTGAGGGACTCGACGACGCCATCGACAGACTGGTGCTCGAGACCGGAGTACTCACCCTCGGTGTTCTCACGGATGATGCAGAGATCGACGTCCTTGTGGCGGGTCTGGAGGCCGGGGAGGTTCTTGACGAGCGAGATGGAGGCGTAGATGTCGAGCTCCTGGCGCATGGCGACGTTGAAGCTCTGGTGGCCGGAGCGGCTGATGGGGGTGTGGAGGATACCCTTGAGACCGAGCTTGTTCCTCCTCAGAGAGGCAACGGCCTGCTGGAAAGCCTCCTCGGTGCGGCTGGCGTTGTCCTGGACACCCGAAACCTCGATCTGCTCCCAGGTAATGGGGACATTGTCGGCCTTGAAGACGGTCTTGACGGACTCGGCAACCTCGGCACCGATACCGTCACCGGGGATGAGGGTGACGGTGTACTTGCCGCCGTACTTGGTGGGCTTGAAGATGTCGGACTGGAGGGTCTGCGCAGGAGTGTCCTGGACGCTGGCGAAGCCGCGGGCGAGGCGGGGGGTGGGCTGGGCAACGGCCCGAGCAAGGCGCTGTAGGGGAAACACATGTTAGTCGCGTGCGTCGACCGTATAGGTAGGTATCGTGAGCATGTGCTGGCATGGCACGTAGCGGTAGCGGCACGGCGCAAGTCTGACAAGCGGGCGTCATGTACGCGACCAATATGCCCGCCATCCGAGATGGTTGCTGAGTTTGGAGCGGGGATGACGTCGGGTGGCAGATTTTTGCGGCAGCAGAAGCACAAGGAGCCAAGACAGCAGCAGCAGCAGCAGCAGTATGAGCAAACATACCATGGAGTTTCTGGAGAGCATTTTGAAGGACTGGTTTGCCAATGACCAAGGACAAGAGCGGAGAGGGATTGAAGGAGCGGCGGCCGAAGGGTGAGGGAGGAAAAATATTCGAACTGGAGAAAAGGGAGTTTGAGGTTCGAGGTCGAGTCGGGTGAACTGGCAGATTTGGCAGATATGGCTCCCCCCCAGGGCAGGCAGGGCAAATGCCTCACAAAAAACATGCAGAGCCTGGAGCCAGTCTGCTGCCAATGATCCCCTCCAATCGTCTACAGCCCAGAGTGTACACTACGGGATACGCCTACCCTGCCTTGGTGGGGAACCAGAATTCGGAGAAACCAAGAACGGATTCGACGCGCTAGGGTTGGATAAGGCTAGCGTCACAGGGCGTGTGGCAGGCGTGTGGCCGGCGTGTGGGTGCACGGATTAAGCAGCCCCACCGTGACGTCCTCTGTGCTACTTCCTTCCCGCCTTCTACACGCCTTCTACGCGCCCGCTGTCAGTGTGTTCTAGCGCTCCATCTTGCTGTTCAGTGGTCTAGACATCTGTTGCGCGACAGCTCTCTGTCACCTAAGTATAGGTAGCTGAGGTAGCTGGACTCCCACACACAAAGCTCCCACTGCCCGACCGACACGGAGTCGGCCCGGGGTCAACCTACGGAACGGACACGGAGGACATGCGGATCGGGGTTCTAACTACCTTCTGGCACCGTTGATTCTTGTTTGTAGTGTATTGACGGGTGCTAGTGTTACTGCCAAGAGATAAAAGCCTTGTACATTCGTCTGAAGCATCCACTGAAACTGTCGTGTCCTCAGCCTGAAGATTTTGGGGAACCGTCGCCTTGGCCGAATCCCGTCGGCGCTATCGCTTCGAACCCACCATATCTCCGACGTCACCTCCCTCGCGTCAACGCAACGCCTCGCGTCAACAACTCGGACACACGACACTCATCAAACAACAACATGGGTTGGGTCCGAATTTACTTATAATTGCAACTTCCGCAGAAACCGAACAAAATGAGCCTCCCATCCTATTCATGCCCTTTCGTCACTAGAAATAAGCCATATGTCCATTGATCGGCCACGACGGGATCCACCACTCCGAGTCGCGCGATCCGCAATGAGGCTCCCTTTCAGGAACCCAGGGTCCGGTCTCAGGGGCTTTGTTTTGTTGATCGCCAGCGACAACATCACTGGTTATCTTCGACCCGCCTTATCGACCTCGGGTCCGATGACCGCGATTGAAAACGCGTTGAGGCTCATAAGGACTACATATCACCAGGCGCTCACCTTACACAAACGGCGCATCTCTCCTCAACCTGTACTCTCCGCTTCCATGCCAGACGACCTCATAGCCCAGCGTGCCTTCTATAATCGCCAACACCATCGGCATCGTTACTGACTGCGGCCTCACCCTGAATGACCTTTCTACGACCACCCTCCTGATCGTCAGCGTAGTCAACGCTCCATTCACCGCTCTGTCAATGGTCGGCGGCCCATCCTCGCTCTCCATTTCGACGTTTGGGGTCCATTTGCTGATATATTTGTCAATGAGCTTCAGCGAAGCGCCGTGGCTACCATGAATGCTGATCCAACCAGGCTTTGACCCGTCCTGGATGGTGATATGGTAGGGCGGTCTCGAGCAGATCTCGGAGAGCGTTGGGAGGGAGGCGACAGTAGGAAAGCTCGCTGGCTTTGGCTCGGCAGAAGACGCGGACGAGGTTGTGGTCGTCTTCGCGTTCGCGACATTCGGCTGTGTTTTACAAGCAGCGGCCGGAGCAGCTCCATTGGCATTGCTTGACCTTTCTTCTCCCGACTTCTCGTCCCTCACACTCAACTGCTTCAGTGACTCCGTCGCTGTTCCCGTCCACGCCTCCTTTCCCAGCTCGGGGTTCGAGTCCTCCTTATCATTTGCAGTCGTCACGAAGCACGACAACAATTCCTTTTGGAACTCTTCGCGAATCACACTTTGCCCCCTTTTCAACGCCCTCCTTACGAATAGAAAATGCTTCGGCAAGTGCACGAAGAAACCATTTCTCTCATCCGACCAACTCGTGCCCAACTGACTATTCTCCCACACATCCAACATGACCCTCAGCTTTCCATTGGCTTTGACCAGACGGGTGAGAAGCCTAGTCAACCAATCATCGTCATCCGGGTGATCAAGAATCAATTGCAGCTCATCGCACCATGATACCATGATGTCGTAGGCTGCTTCGACGAGTGTAGGTTTTTGTTGTTCGCCGAACTCGTCCAGCAGACGCTGCCAGTCAGCTTCGATGATCACTTTGTGTCCGAGGACTCGGCTGAGCTCGGTAACTTGGCCATGGAGAAACGAGGTTGCGGAGAGGAAGTATTTGGTGATATCGCTGGCGATAGAAGGGGGGTAGTAAGGGGGCCTTGACGCAGGTTGGTCAGCTAACAGTTCGACTATGTTTTCCTGATTGATTGATTCATGCTTGTCTCTACTTACGGATCTGCGGTCGACTTGAGGTTTGTCATGTTGTCTGAGTTTTTATGTGCTTGTCTCTCAAGAAAAAAAGAAAAAAGAACAAAAATTCAGAAGAGGAGTTCTTCGAGAAGCAAGACGTAAATGAGTTGGGTTCCCAGAAAAGTGAATCCGTCAAACCCATGAAAGCGCAATGAAGACTGGAACAAACGGTCGGATGAGGGGGTCGAGTAGGAAGAAAATGATTCAGATCTCAAATTCAAGGCGAAGGCGTAAAGGCACCGTACCTACCTAACCAACAAACACTGCCACATTGCAATATGCAGCTACGCTCAACAGCCAACCCCGCCTTTTCGTCACCCTGCTGCGTATGCCGGTTTCCTAGGCATCGATGCATGAGGGGAAATAGGTGGTTAGGTGATGAGGAAAAGCCAAGTGCTACTGTCATGCACCAATATGTCGTTGTCGTCAACAACCATTGGACGATTGTCGAACGGTACTAGCCAGTGACAGTCGTTTGGTAGTAGCCAGTAAGACCAACACGAAATATCCCCATACTTCTGAGGCCACACATCCAGCTTGAAGCGTTTTGTTCTTTTGGAGCATGACCAATCGCTGGCCATGACAGTGAAAGTCAAGCGCAGAGTCAAGCAAACACCGACCTCAGGATATCCTGACATTTGAGGGTCGTCGAGAGATACCCACGTCAGGAAGATTGGTTCATTTTGCCCCCATTTTTGATATTGTCGTTGAGACCGAAGCTTGGTGGTTTTGGAAATGGGACCCTTCTAGGTGTCTTTCCGAATTTTTGTTGAGTACCAAGCGGACTCTTGCCAGCTTTCGTTTTCGGGAAACTGTATTGTATACGACACGTGAATACCACTGACAAGCATGGAGATCCATCTTCGAGTCAATCTTTCGTATTACCATTAATGCAATCATCGAGCTCGCAGCAAATATCTCCAGGTTTTAACCCCCCAAACGCCTATCAATCACCCATTAGTCGAGCAGACTCATTATCAGCCACCCGTCACTACTCAGCAGTCTGCAACTGCCCGTTCCCGCTTCCAGATCCGCATCCGTATCCGTCATCCGTCCCGTCATTAACGCCGTTGCCGTGATCGAAAGGCTATGCAAACACCTGAAGCTCCGACGGCGCAAACGAGAACTCGGACAGAGTGCAAGCCTGGACATTCCAGTAGTAGGTATCGCCATTCTTCCACTCGGCGGGAGGCGTCTGGTGCTCTTCGAAGGTGCAGTTGGGCGTCTGCGCGGCCGAAGTGCCGTTGGCCGAGAATATGGCCCTGGGGAGTTCGTTCGTTGATGTTAGCACATACTTTATTCTAGTGATTTTCAATCTGGTGAGCAGGCAAGAGAAAGAGAGGGAGCAGCTGCTAGAACTTACATGTTCCCCGGCCCCTCCAAATCATCACACGCCCAAGTCTGCCTCACTTCCACACTCTGACTACTCTTCCAATACCGAAACTGCGTTTGGATTTGTCCTGCCCCAGCCGACACTCCACCCCACTCTCCTCCCTCACTCCCGTCACTTGCACCTGAAGTTGAATTCACCACAGTCGTACAATCATATACCCTCTGCCCATAAAACGGATCCGAAAAATCACTGCTATAAGCATCGCAGTACACATTCAGCTCCGGCAACGCGTTACTAGTCAGATTAAACCGGACCGTGGCGCCGTTGATGCGGTGCGAAGGCGTGGTGTAGGTCAGAGAGGAGGAGTAGTGAAAGTCGGACACGGTCCATTGGAATCCGTGGAGAGAGGTGTTGGTACAGCCTGCAGGGAGGTTGTCGTCGGTGGAAAAGGAGGAGGCGGTCATGGCGTGATTTGAGTTGAGGTTGGGGGACTGCTGGATTAAGACGACGGGACCGAATGCCGATGAAGCAGGAACGGGGGAGGCGGCCACTGAGCGGAGGAGGAGGAAGAGGCCGGTGAGGAGTCCCGAGCGATTGCTGGTTTTGTTCGTCATGTTGGGAGCTTGGGGTAAGCTGTTTGAGGTTGATGGAAGGTAAGACGATGCTGAAGATGGTAAGCAAACTGGACTGAAAAGCCGTATACTACCTTAGGTAGGCAGGTAGGGGACCTGGGTGTTGCTCTGGGCTTGGAGAATTCGAAGCACTTCTGATTCCGTCAGGATAGGTGGGAAGTAGCGAGACAATTTATATACCCATCATCAAATAGAAGAGTCCAGGTGGTTCGATTGTATCCCACCAAAGACGTATTTCAGTCCGGGCTTCTGAGGTCGGATCAGTTGCTTTCACCTGATCTCGATCTTTCTGTTCCCCACACCTTAAAACTGTCAGCTCGACCCCAACACGTAGAGGTAGGTAAGATAGAAGACTACGAAACGCGGCAGAGTGCGGATGTGCCATCTAGCGGGGTAGTTTCCATAGATGAGCCGAACAGTGAGGCAAGCACGATATGATCGCGCTGCGGACAGGAAATTGCGGCAGGGACAACCAACAACCCAACAACAACCGGAAACTAGAATGAACCCGTACATACTACCTTGGACCAACAACTGAAATCTCGTATTCCCGTACAGTTCAAGTAAGACAACGAAGAGTCTTCTGGGCGTGTCGTGATCTTAGCGTTATTCTCGTGGAGGTCACGTTCCGCTTTCTACGACCCTAAGTAGTTGGTTGAAGGTTTGGTTTGGTTTGGCCGGTTCGTTGTTTCTTCGTTAGTGATGTTCTGATTACCTACTTGGAAAGGAAAAGAGACGGAGGCTCGAGTAACGTTATCATTTGGGAAGGGAGACGGATGTCATTTATGTACCTACCTAGGCAAAATGACGAGATCATGCCATTCATGTTGTTCGGTTCGGTTTAGTCTTGTTGTGGTAGCATAGCAAGCGCGCCTTCCTTTTGACGACGACGACATGTGCCTGAGAATGAAATCAATGTAGCCTCATTCAAACTTTTCTTCATTTCATGTTACACCATCCAACTGTGAACGTTCATCACGGCCTGCAGTAACGAGTGACAGTGGAAAGGGTACCTACCTACGTTTGTGACAGCTGATGTGAACGAACCCTTCAAGGGAATGGCAAATCATATCCCGTGTTACCAGCACGTCAGAATGTTTTTTTTTTTTTTCTTTTTTTTTTTTTCAATTTTATTTTGTTCAAGAAAACAAAAATATCTTGGTGCTATCGATTGAGTGGCCCAAAAATAAAGCCATTTTCTTCTCGTACACACATCATCCTCAAGATGAAGATCAGCTGCTGGCATGCGTGACCATTGCAGTGTTCATGTTTCTGCCAGTTCGTTAAACTGCCCATCTAACAATATGAGTGGCTTGGGAATTACTGGATGGCCCCGTCGGATAGTACCAGTAGTAGTAAGGTACTCTTGGTATTTGAGTGATCCTTCTTCATTGTCGGGACACACAAAGATCGCCCAACCTGAAGAAGCTCGTAGGAAGGCGGGTCTCTTGCTGTATCAGTCAGTTGACAAGTTGAAGCGTCCACTGTTGAGCGTGATCATGCATAGTCGTAAGCTTAGGCAATAAGTTTTCACTTCCGAACTGGTCATTGACTGGATTCTACATATCCGGTTCATGTGATCGCCGCGAATCAGAATGTGATCACCGGAAAATAGAAACACTAGATCCGGTCCGGTCCCGAAAGATGAGACAAGAGTGATTGACAGTGTATAACAAGCCTGAGACCTGAGGCCTGAACAAACCCATCCATGTGTCGAGTGTCTTACAAGACGTGGGCCCGATTTAGGCTTCGTACTAGGAGAGCAAAAACCCCGAACATGTATTTCTGTCACCAGATGGTAATCCATGTTTCCATTCACAGATCTTAGTCCTGTACTCTATTCAAAAACACCCTTCATAACGGATGCTTTCAAGGTCATAACAGTAGGTAACACGGCTTGATGAAAGCCTCGGTTTTCCCTAACCCAGTCCAATGCTGATCATAACACATCATAGTATCGTCGTCGACGGTCATACATTAAGTTCTATTTCCCCTCCAGAAACATGCCTGCCCCCCTGTATTCACCCCTAACCCTCGCGCATCATCTCACTAACCACCATGCCCATCCTCCCCCAAAACATCAAGCGGCTCGACCCTCACCAAGATCTCCTCCAACAGTCCCTCCAGAAACCCACCAACATCCTTGCCCATCCCCACCGGCTCCGCCTTGTCGTAGTGGTCAATCTCCTTGCACACATGTGCCAGCTTATACACCAACTTGCGTATCTTCTCGTTGGCTGCCTCAGCACGCTGCTGCTTCGGAGTAGGCGGGGCTGGAGCATACCCCGGTTCCGGTCGGTACGTCTGCTGCAGCATGATTTGTCGGCGTTTGAGCGCCTCCTCTAGCGCAGGGAAAATCACGTCGTTAAGGGCGTCCAACTCGCCGCTGGGACTAGGCGGATCGGGCGAAGGAAACGCCAGTGATGTTGATGACGAGGACGGTGTACTGGCTCCGCCATGGTTGGACGAGGTGGACACTATGCGGCTCCCTGATGGCGACGAGCGTGGCATCTCCTTTGATGTTAGGGGGCTCAGCCCTTGACTCTGATGGTAGCTTGACCTCTTAGGTTGATACTGTCCAGAGGACTGCTGATACTGTGAATCTCGTCGTTGATGCTGTTGTTGCTGCTGCTGTTGGTACAATGACTCGCGCGAAGGTTGATGATAGAGCATTGTAGGTTGTGACTGCTGTCTCTGATGTTGTTGGTACACTTGCTCGCGCGATGGCTGGTGATTTAGCTGACGCTGTTGCTGCTGTGGTTGTTGCTGCTGTTGCTGCCGGTAAAGTGATTCACGCGAAGGTTGATGGTAGAGGGGAGGCTGTTGCTGCTGCTGGAAAGGTTTGCTGGTGTTTGGTGCTTGCTGACTTGTTTGCTGGTTGGTAAGCTTTTGAGGGGATTGTTGCTGTTGCTGTTGTCCTCCTCTGTATGGGGGAATCTCGGGCAACTTCATGGGTCCAGCAGCCGTTCTTGACGGTGAAGATGTAGGTTGTTGGCTGTACTGTGATGGAGAGAATGCTGATTGTGGCTGTGTGCTGTTCTGGATAGCCGGTCCGAGGTTCATACCCCCAATATCCCGTCGTAACTGTTCCTGAAGCACACGATCATAATCTGGAGAACTGCCTAATGGTGTGTGTGCT